GTGGAATTACACTGGCCAGTTTATCATGTCTGTCTTACTGTTGATTTATACTAGCACGTTTATCATGTCTGTCTTACTGTTGATTTATACTGGCACGTTTATCATGTCTGTCTTACTGTGGAATTACACTGGCCAGTTTATCATGTCTGTCTTACTGTGGAATTGCACTGGCACGTTTATCATGTCTGTCTTACTGTGGAATTGCACTGGCCAGTTTATCATGTCTGTCTTACTTTGGAATTGCACTGGCCAGTTTATCATGTCTGTCTTATTGTGGAATTACACCGGCCAGTTTATCATGCCTGACTTACTATTGATTTACACTGGCCAGTTTATCGTGTCTCTCTTACTGTGGAATTATACTGGCCAGTTTATCATGTCTGTCTTACTGTGGAATTGCACTGGCCAGTTGATCATGTCTGTCTTACTGTGGAATTGCACTGGCCAGTTTATCATGTCTGTCTTACTGTGGAATTACACTGGCAAGTTTATCATGTCTGTCTTACTGTGGAATTACACTGGCCAGTTTATCGTGTCTGTCTTACTGTGGAATTGCACTGGCACGTTTATCATGTCTGTCTTACTGTGGAATTGCACTGGCCAGTTTATCATGTCTGTCTTACTTTGGAATTGCACTGGCCAGTTTATCATGTCTGTCTTACTGTGGGATTACACTGGCCAGTTTATCATGTCTGTCTTACTGTGGAATTACACTGGCCAGTTTATCGTATCAGTCTAACTGTGGAATTGCACTGGCCAGTTTGTCGTGTCTGTCTTACTGTTGATTTATACTGGCACGTTTATCATGTCTGTCTTACTGTTGATTTATACTGGCACGTTTATCATGTCCATCTTATTGTGGAATTGCACTGGCCAGTTTATCATGCCTGACTTACTGTTGATTTATACTGGCCAGTTTATCGTGTCTCTCTTACTGTGGATTTATACTGGCACGTTTATCATATCTGTCTTACTGTGGAATTACACTGGCCAGTTTATCATGTCTGTCTCACTGTGGAATTGCACTGGCGAGTTTATTATGTCTGTCTTACTGTGGAATTGCACTGGCCAGTTTATCATGTCTGTCTTACTGTGGAATTGCACTTGCCAGTTTATCGTGTCTGTCTTACTGTGGGATTACACTGGCCAGTTTATCATGTCTGTCTTACTGTGGAATTACACTGGCCAGTTTATCGTGTCTATCTAACTGTGGAATTGCACTGGCCAGTTTATCATGTCTGTCTTAATGTGGGATTACACTGGCCAGTTTATCATGTCTGTCTTACTGTGGAATTACACTGGCCAGTTTATCGTGTCAGTCTAAATGTGGAATTGCACTGGCCAGTTTGTCGTGTCTGTCTTACGGTTGATTTACACTGGCCATTTTATCATGTCTGTCTTACTGTTGATTTATACTAGCACGTTTATCATGTCTGTCTTTCTGTTGATTTATACTGGCACGTTTATCATGTCTGTCTTATTGTGGAATTACACCGGCCAGTTTATCATGCCTGACTTACTATTGATTTACACTGGCCAGTTTATCGTGTCTCTCTTACTGTGGAATTGCACTGGCCAGTTTATCGTGTCTCACTTACTGTGGATTTATACTGGCCAGTTTATCATGTCTGTCTTACTGTGGAATTGAACTGGCCAGTTTATCATGTCTGTCTTACTGTGGAATTGCACTGGCCAGTTTATCATGTCTGTCTTACTGTGGAATTACACTGGCAAGTTTATCATGTCTGTCTTACTGTGGAATTACACTGGCCACTTTATCATGTCTGTCTTAATGTGGAATTGCACTGGCACGTTTATCATGTCTGTCTTACTGTGGAATTACACTGGCCAGTTTATCATGTCTGTCTTACTTTGGAATTGCACTGGCCAGTTTATCGTGTCTGTCTTACTGTTGATTTACACTGGCCACTTTATCATGTCTGTCTTACTGTGGAATTGCACTGGCCAGTTTATCATGTCTGTCTTACTGTGAGATTACACTGGCCAGTTTATCATGTATGTCTGTCTTACTGTGGAATTACACTTGCCAGTTTATCGTGTCAGTCTAACTGTGGAATTGCACTGGCTAGTTTATCATGTCTGTCTTACGGTTGATTTACACTGGCCAGTTTATCATGTCTGTCTTACTGTTGAATTGCACTGGCCAGTTTATCATGCCTGACTTACTATTGATTTACACTGGGAAGTTTATCGTGTCTCTCTTACTGTGGATTTATACTGGCACGTTTATCATGTCTGTCTTACTGTGGAATTACACTTGCCAGTTTATCATGTCTGTCTTACTGTGGATTTATACTGGCACGTTTATCATGTCTGTCTTACTGTGGAATTACACTGGCCAGTTTATCATGTCTGTCTCACTGTGGAATTACACTGGCGAGTTTATCATGTCTGTCTTACTGTGGAATTGCATTGGCCAGTTTATCATGTCTGTCTTACTATGGAATTACACTGGCCAGTTTATCATGTCTGTCTTACTGTGGGATTACACTGGCCAGTTTATCGTGTCTGTCTTACTGTGGAATTGCACTGGCCAGTTTATCATATCTGTCTTACTGTGGAATTGCACTGGCCAGTTTATCATGCCTGTCTTACTGTGGAATTGCACTGGCCTGTAATATGCATGTCTTACTGTGGAATTGCACTGGCCAGTTTGTCATGTCTGTCTGTCTGTGGAATTACACTAGCCAGTTTATCATGCCTGACTTACTATTGATTTACACTGGCCAGTTTATCGTGTTTGTCTTACTGTGGAATTGCACTGGCCAGTTTATCATATCTGTCTTACTATGGAATTACAGTTGTCAGTTTTTCGTGTCTGTCTTACTGTGGAATTACACTGGCCAGTTTATCTTGTCTCACTTACTGTGGAATTACACTTGCCAGCTTATCATGTCTGTCTTCCTATGGAATTACAGTTGTCAGTTTATCATGTCTGTCTTACTGTGGAATTACACTTGCCAGTTTATCATATCTGTCTTACTGTGGAATTGCACTGGCCAGTTTATCATGTCTGTCTGTCTGTGGAATTACACTGGCCAGTTTATCATGCCTGACTTACTATTGATTTACACTGGCCAGTTTATCGTGTCTGTCTTACTGTGGAATTGCACTGACCAGTTTATCATATCTGTCTTACTATGGAATTACAGTTGTCAGTTTATCGTGTCTGTCTTACTGTGGAATTACACTGGCCAGTTTATCATGTCTGTCTTACTATTGAATTACACTGGCCAGTTTATCATGTCTGTCTTACTGTGGAATTGCACTGGCCAGTTTATCATATCTGTCTTACTGTGGAATTGCACTGGCCAGTTTATCATATCTGTCTTACTGTGGAATTGCACTGGCCTGTAATATGCATGTCTTACTGTGGAATTGCACTGGCCAGTTTATCATGTCTGTCTGTCTGTGGAATTGCACTGGCCAGTTTATCATGCCTGACTTACTATTGATTTACACTGGCCAGTTTATCATGTCTGTCTTACTGTGGAATTGCACTGGCCAGTTTATCATATCTGTCTTACTATGGAATTACAGTTGTCAGTTTATCGTGCCTGTCTTACTGTGGAATTACACTGGCCAGTTTATCATGTCTGTCTTACTGTGGAATTACACTGGCCAGTTTATCATGTCTGTCTTACTGTGGAATTACACTGGCCAGTTTATCTTGTCTCACTTACTGTGGAATTACACTGGCCAGTTTATCTTGTCTCACTTACTGTGGAATTACACTGGCCAGCTTATCATGTCTGTCTTACTGTGGAATTACAGTGGCCAGTTTATCATATCTGTCTTACTATTTATTTACACTGGCCAGTTTATCGTGTCTGTCTTACTGTGGAATTACACTGGCCAGTTTATCATGTCTGTCTTAATGTGGAATTGCACTGGCCAGTTTATCATGTCTTTCTTACTGTGGAATTGCACTGGCCAGTTTATCTTGTCTCACTTTTTGTGGAATTACACTGGCCAGTTTATCATGTCTGTCTTACTGTGGAATTACACTGGCCAGTTTATCTTGTCTCACTTACTGTGGAATTACACTGGCCAGTTTATCTTGTCTCACTTACTGTGGAATTACACTGGCCAGCTTATCATGTCTGTCTTACTGTGGAATTACAGTGGCCAGTTTATCATATCTGTCTTACTATTTATTTACACTGGCCAGTTTATCGTGTCTGTCTTACTGTGGAATTACACTGGCCAGTTTATCATGTCTTTCTTACTGTGGAATTGCACTGGCCAGTTTATCATGTCTGTCTTACTGTGGAATTGCACTGGCCAGTTTATCTTGTCTCACTTTTTGTGGAATTACACTGGCCAGTTTATCATGTCTGTCTTACTGTGGAATTACAGTGGCCAGTTTATCATATCTGTCTTACTATTTATTTACACTGGCCAGTTTATCGTGTCTGTCTTACTGTGGAATTACAGTGGCCAGTTTATCATATCTGTCTTACTATTGATTTACACTGGCGAGTTCATTATAGAAGTTATACTGCGGAATATTGTATGAAACGTGAGTGGCGAGAGTGAAGTTAACCAGATGTTTTGTGATGAGCATGTATCAACAGTTACCTCTGTCATCGAAACACGGAAGAGTATCGGAAGACAGACGTTTGTTGCATTTATTGAGAATCAAAAGGCATATGATTGTATGGGGGGAGGAGCGACCGCCGCGCGCCTGTGTATCCGCCGGAGAATCTACTCACCACGGTGCTTTGAACAACTTTGTCTGTGCAGGTTCTGTTTAGATGTATTCATAAAATGCTCTGAAATTTGTGCAGAATTTAACAAACTGACAAACTCTGATCATCTTTACACAACAGGGAGGCGGACCACTGAAATAACCATCTTTTGTGGCGTGTGTGGTGTTGGTTCAGCTCTGTAATGCTGTAGCCAGCTGTTTGTATTACGCGCGCAGTGTATGAAAGTGATCAATAATGACCCTGAGCACATGTTTGGTGAGTGATCAGCTGGTCCAAGTTACTTGTACTAATCTCCCAGTAACCCCACGTTCACACTGTGCACACTCCTGACTGCCGCTGTCGGGTGGTATTTCAGTGGCGTTCCAGCAATGGGTGGCGGTCCCAGTGTCCCCGTGGTTCCCCTGTCTCGCGACCGTGTTGTACTGGTGACCGGTGGAAACACAGGTAGGAGGGTCGGTTACCTACACCTGCACGTGCAAGAGCTACACATTTATATTTATCACACGTTATACACATGCATATATGCAGCATCTATATATATACATATATATATATACATTAGCTCTCTCTCTGTATGTATATTATTGTCTTTCAGCGTGACAAAAAGTAACTGCTCACGTGGATTTCACGTGCACGGTGTAACTATCTGCGTGCATGAAGTTGTTTCTTGTCTAGATTAATGTTATTTATAGAAAAAGTTTAGTTAACAATATTAAAACTGTTATTGACTTTTTAGGACATGCGATTGATTAATTCCAATGTTTACACAATTTTGCGTTAAAGCAAGGCCCGCGTGTCTGTTATGTCACGAAGTAAGGTGATGACATGAGTTGCCCCCCTTTGATAGCAAACACCACGATCGACAACTGCAGGTATGATTGACGAGAGTTAATTTGAAATGGGCATTCTAAACTTAACATATAAATGTCAGCGCCAACAGAAGAGTCCGTCTGTCTGTCTGTCTGTCTCTCTCGTAGTTGTTAATTGTATAGGACATACTGCATATGCATGCATACTGAATACATATATTTTGCGGCGGAACATGTATATATATATAACAACATGAATGATGTCTTTATCACAAAGTTTTTAAACCTACAGAAAATTCCATACATTGTGGCGTGTGTCTACTGTTTCATAGCTAACCGATATTAAACCCCGTTCGATCACAACAAATGTTTTATTCTTTGAGATTTCGTCATCCTTTTTGGTGGGGTATATGACTTTCCGTATGGTGAACGCATTACTACACTGGTATACACTGGTACCTATATGTCGAGGAATAATTGATGTCTAAGATAGATTTCCATCCTCTATACATCCTTTGTTTGTTAAACTATCAATACAGGTATCGGGTACGAGGCAACTAAACACATCGCCATGATGGGGGCCTCCGTCATCATAGCCTGCAGATCACAGACCAGGGCGTCACAGGTGAGCTACACGACTTAAGTCCAGTCATCAGGTGAGCTACACGACTTGAGTCCAGTCGCCAGATGAGCTACAACATTTGAGTCCAGTCACCGGGAGAGCTACATGACTTGAGTCCAGTCACCGGGAGAGCTACACGACTTGGGTCTATAGTCACCAGGTGAGCTACATGATTTGAGTCCAGTCACCGGGAGAGCTACACGACTTGAGTCCAGTCACCAGGTGAGCTACATGATTTGAGTCCAGTCACCAGGTGAGCTACATGATTTGAGTCCAGTCACCAGATGAGCTACATGGCTCGCGCCAAATCACAATTTCAGCCGTCCACTGGGGAAAAGTTCTTCATTTCAAATGAAAACTTGGAAAACGTTGAAAGGAATGCATGTCGTCGTTTTTCTTAGTGATTAGTCGCCTCAAAACAGCAAATAGTCTTTTGGTGTGTATATTAGGCAAATAACAAATGCATTTCTACCTTTTTGGCCATATTTTAGTCATTTCACTGGTAAGTCTGAAATTAGGCTGAATGAATAATACAATGCACTACACTTATCTCGCCACAAACATTCTAGGCTGAAGTCCACACTGTATTTGAACAGATAAATCTCTCCCGCATGTCTACATGCATAAGAGAGCGGTTTTGTCAGCACTTACAATTACATCCTGACAAAATGTGAAGAACTTCCTGTATTATAGTCTATGTGGTGACCAATAGCCGCTGAATAATTCGGAATTCACTTTGGCAGAGTCTGCGTAGCAGGGTCCCTCTTGCGAGACATTGTTTATGTTCGAAACACATCAAATAAGGCCATTACGATCATGTTTCTATTTCTAGGCCATCCGACGAATGAATGAAGAGTTCAGTGCTTCCAAAGAAGCTGGTACGCTCCCTGAAGGCATCAACCAGACCGGAAGGTTGGCAGTAGATTGTATGAAACTTGATCTGGCGTCCCTCAAATCCACCATGGCATTCATCGAGGCCTTCAAGGCATCAGGTCGCAAGCTGCACGTGCTGCTATGTAACGCTGGTTTGGCAATGTTGCCCAGAAGTAAGGAGAGATCACGCACTGTTCCTATTCCTATTATTGATGACAGTAGACAGACTTGGTAGTATGACACGTGCTGCAGTAACGGTACCATCCGGGGACTCCAATGAGTATTGTCTGCAATATGATTTTGCGTTTATGGACGTATAAACATACCAGCCTGTGTGTGCACACTGTGTAAATGCGAACACACCAAATTTCACATTTATGACTCCATTTACGATTAACAGGGGGACACATTAAAGTCCATTCTAATAAATAATTACGTCAACAATAACAACTTAACTGACTGCTTATATAATCATTAACACAGACAACTGTAAAGATTAAATATTATATCAGTGACGTCTCTAGCGCAATAAATCAACACAAACCCCGTGCATTTTCTTATCATCCAATTAGGAAATAGTAGTCCGTAAGTGGGCGTCACCGAATGTGTCCTCGGTTTATGGAAAAAAAGCAAAACACGTTTAATTGGTTAGCCAGTGAATACCACAGAATCACATGCAATTAAAGGCGAGAAAGTCATGATTCTAGTGTTTTAATTGGAGGACTGAGAAGCCGTTTGTAGTTTGCTGGGAATCACTTACCATGGAAACTAAATGTATATAAGCTCTTGGTATCGTCTACCGATATCACAACCTTGTTACCAGTATGTGCATGAATGACCAGGTGAAGTAAAGTGGTGTCAATCAGCGCACTCTTTTGTTGTTCCTTGCATATTATAAAAAGGTGTTTGTGTGAGAAATAATGGCGATGTCTTTTCAGGTTTCACAGAAGATGGCTATGAGACAATGTTCCAGGTATGTAGATTCAGTTAGCTAGAACGTCACACATCCGCACATGTTAGGCTCCTAGTCCTCATTCTAAAGTTCCATTTCTCAGACTGTGTAACAGTGGGGAGTTTACCAATAAGCGTTTGCTGTGTTATGAAGGTGAACTATCTGGGTCATTTCCTGGTCATTGCCCACCTGCTGCCCATCATGAAGACCTCGGGTAGCGACTGCCGCATCGTCTTCTCGTCCAGCGGAGCCCATATGTACAGCGAATGGAAGTTCAGTGAGTCGAAGATCAAGGCAGAGGATCCATCCGCGTATGGAAGGATGCTCAACTATGGTACCTCCAAACTGTTTCAGGTACTAATTAGTGAATAAGTTGCTGAGGTTTTTAGAACTGAATAAAAATAATATCATATCAGTTGAGTTTCAGTTGATTTCATTCCTAATATGAAATTGTTGTGCCACTGCTCAGATCCACCATATGTACTGTCTGTCACGGAGACTGAAGGGCACGGATATTTCGGTCACCTGCCTTCATCCGGGTATTGTGCGGACTGAAATTACACGGAGCTTCATTGACAGTACAGCACTTGCTGCCATGTTTGGAACCTTCAGAATGCTTGGTGAGTAATAGCCAGAATCACTCTTTGGCTTAATGTGTAGATGTGTTACACTTTATACTAGTAATTAAGAATACATATGAATGTCATGATGAATTGAGTTAGCATTAGTAGATTAGAATTGTATAAGTGTAGGGAAACAATTCTTGAAACCTGAAGCTACCCGGAAACGACATTCGTGACCGGCTATGGTGAAACCATGTGGCACTGTACATATTCAGATGGTCTCAGCTCTACGGTCGCTGCTGTTCCAGGTAGTTTCCACACATAGACGCTGCTCTGACAGAACGTTCTTCTTTCAACATTTCAAGACATTTCAATGTGGCATATACAGCATGAAGATGTTTGTTATGTGTGTTACTTTCTGTCAATAAATTTCAGATTTCTAACTTCAATTTCTAACATATTTCTATATGACTAGGGGTCTGTGGTTTGTGGGTGGTTGGTGTTTCAATATCCTGTGTTATCCAAACACTAATTACAGAGAAAACAAGAAGCAGGTCTGACTTGACACATTTACTCTAGGAGGCCATGATCTTAAAAAGTTTGGATGTACAGGGATCAGTTATTGTACTGGATTATTGTGATGTGATAGGGAGCAGTCATAAATCGATATTGCAACATCCCTTCTTCTTTAAGAGTCCATGAGTCCATAGGAAACTTTGGCACAGTCTATGAGTCCATAGGAAACTTTGGCACACACTCCTTGATAATATCAAAATTATACTGGCATCGAAGTCAGTTTACATTATTTTGAATTAACATTTAGGGTAGCTTTCATATTAATAAAGCTATTAAATTATGAAGGCCTTATAACTGTCAGTGAATCAAATTAGTGTCCATGACTGGTCCGTAAACATTCACTCACATTAACAGAATAAAATGACTGTTAAATGAGGCTTCAACATATAATTGTTGAACTTGAGTACCAACTATACCCTACACAGTAAAGTCTCTGAGATGTTTGGGCAACTTCACTGAACGGCCACTTCTGGTGGTAGTAGGTGGTGTAGTCTGTGCTTGCTTCATGATAGTCGTCGGTCTGTCGGTCTTCATCGGTATGACAGGTGGAGTCACAGGAGAAGTCTTCTCATTACTCCTGTTACTGGTAGGACTGTTAGATGGCATAAGCTTTTCTCTTGACATTAATGGCTTTCTGAATCTCTGTTCGCTTTCAACTTTGACAGGTGTTTGATTCAAAGTATGTTGTTCAGCTGTTTTCCTCAAATGTACACGGTTACGTCGGAGTATTCCTGTAGGTGTGTCTACCTCATAGCTTCTCTCGTCAAGTCTCTTTAGCACTTTTCCCTTTTTCCATACTTTGTCATTCATAGTGAATGGCTTCATCCTAACAGTATCACCTTCTTCTAGTGGCGTTAAATCTTTTGCCGATTTGTCATAGGCTGACTTCTGTTTCTGCTGTTTCAGACGAAGTCTTTCCCTTTCACCGTTCACTGTTCTCGGCTTCAGCAGAGTTTCACTTGTTGGAAGGAGAGTCTTCGTCTGTTCATAAGTCGTTGCACAGGACTAGAGCCGAGTCCCTGAGTTGGTGTATTTCTGTAGTCCAATATTGCCATATACTGGTCGTTTCCACTGTCTTTTGCTTTCCGTAGTAGTTTCTTTGCGGTCTTAACCGCAGACTCTGCCTTTCCATTGGCTTGACTGTTGTGAGGACTTGAGGTTAAGTGCTCTATGTCCCAATCAATGACAAATTTGTGAAACTCCTCCGAGTAGAACTGAGGTCCGTTATCACTGACCAGCTGGTCCGGAATCCCATATCTGGCAAAGTGTGCCTTTAGCTTCTTTATAACTGAAGTAGACTTGGTGTCTGATAGGTAGTCCACTTCCCAGAAGTTACTGTAGTAATCCACGGTTATCAGATAGTCCTTATCATTAAGAGTGAACAAATCTGATGCCACTTTTTGCCATGGTCGTTCTGGTACTTGTGTGGTCTGTAGTGTCTCCTTCTGCTGGTCTGCCTGGTATTTGCAGCACAACTCGCAAGTACTGATGTACTGTTTAATGTCATCAGACATGTGAGGCCAATACAAACTCGCTCTTGCACGCTGTTAACAACCTTCGATCCCTTGGTGAGAAGTATGGATCCTGGTTTTCATTGTAGTTCTCAGGTTGTGAGGTATGACCAGCCTTTCTCCTCTGAATATGAGACCATTTTGTACTGTGATCTCGTCTCTACAGTTGAAGTATGGGTACAACTCCATCAGCAAAGTGTCTCTGTCCTCTGTCCACCCACTTAACACGACTTGTTTGAGTTTCTGCAGATTTTCGTCCTTTTCAGTCTCTTCTCTGATCTGCTTGATCCTGTCATCTGTTATCGGAAAAAACTTTGCCATGTTCACCTGACTGAAAGGCTCTTCAATCTTTGGCTCTGTGCTTGGCAAATATGCTCTTGACAATGTGTCTGCCAAAACAACATCTGCACCTTCTTGTACTTGATAGTGGCGTCATACTGTTGCATAGCCAGAATCATAGACTGTAGTCGTCTAGGAGCACAGTTTACGGGTTTGCTGGTTCTAGTGGTTTATGATCATTTTCCACTGTAACTTTCCGACCAAATGTGTATGTGTGGAACTTTTGAAGTCCAAAAACAACAGACAGCATTTCCTTTTCAATCTGTGCATATCTGGACTCAGCCGGTGTTAGGGCATGGCTAGCGTATGCAATTGGCTTGTCTTGTTGTAACAGAACAGCACCGAGTCCAGTGGAACTTGCATCACACTGCAGTGTCAGTTCTTCAGCTTCATTGTAGTATACCAATACTGAAGCTTCCGTAACCATTTTTTTTCACTTCAGTGAAGGCTTTCTCGTGTGCCTCCATCCATGTCCAGTCCACGTCAGTATGTGTTAATTGTCGAAGTGGTTGCATTACCCCTGACAGACAAGGTAAATATCTCGCAAGGTAGTTGACAAACTCTGAGAAGCATTGAATGTCCTCAACATTCTGTGGTGCTGGCATTTCCAACACAACCTTTATTTTCTGTGGGTCACACTTAAGTCCCTGATCAGTGATGATGAGACCAAGAAAGGTAACCTCTTTTCTGCACAACTTAAGTTTCTCCTTCTTCAACTTGATACCAAGTTTCTGACAACGCTGCATAAGGCATTCCAGATTCTTGTCATGGTCAACCTGCGCTGTCATCTTGTTATACCCTGAACCATAGGTCAGGATGTCATCCACAATATATTTGACACCTGGTAGTCCTTCCAAAGCTTGGTTTAAGCATTTCTAGAAGATTTCAGGCGATACACTGACACGAATGGTAGTCTAGTCCATCTGTACCAACCAAGCGTAGTTCCAAAAGTACACAGCAAACTGGATTCGAGATCAAGTTCAAGATGCCAAAATCCAGCAGACAAGTCACATGTACTGAAGACCTTCACATTTGTCAGATCGGGCAAGACTTCCTCGAACGTAGGCAGCTGATAATGCTCACGACGAAGTGCCTCATTTAAGCGCTTGGGGTCAATACAAATTCTAATTCCCCCTGATTTCTTGGGTGCTGTCACTAACGAGCTAACCCAATCTGTTGGTTCATCCACAGGTACCAAGACACCTAGTTTCATAAGACATTAAGTTCTTGTCTCAATTCCTCTCTCTGTGAGATAGGCACTCTGTTCTGATGTGAGACGCATTGGGTTATTTCCGGATTCACCTGCAGGTAAACTTTACCAGGCAAGGTCCCAAGTTCCCCTTCAAAATTTTCAGAGTAAGTCTTAATGATAGCCTCAGAATTCCTCTCTTTGACTAATGTTGTTCCTGGCTGTGAAACTGAACAAACAGAAACAAAGTTGTCCACATTCACTGTTAGCAGTCCCATCTGCTGCACTGCTTTGGAACCCAACAAAGGTACAAGATGATTTGTGTCATCGGACACAATCACAAATTCTACACTGTAAGCCTTCTTGTTTTAGGGGTTTTGAATCAGCAGTCTTGTTACACCATCAGGGTGTACCAGTGAACCATTCCACATACGAAGCATTTTCGAAGTGTGTGTGACATCAGTATCAGCATTAAGTAATCTCCGTGGTAAAATGTTTACTGACGCTCCACAATCCAACTGGAATTTTACACTGGTATCATGCTCCACAATCATCTGAGCGAAAATATCTGAGCCTGCTTTCTTTCCAACCTGGTTGCAAACTTCAACATCTGGATCCAATGACACACTGCTGATCACCTCAAGACAATCATCTTCCTCTGCTCCACTGTCTTCATCATCTGAGACAGAGTGAATCTTGCTAGCTTGTTGTTACCATGTCGACAGCATTGCTGATAATGATTCTTTCCCTTACACAGGGTACATGTCTTTCCCCAGGCTGGACATTTGCGTCTGTCAATAATGTGTTTGTATCCACAAAACTTGCATAGTTGTAAAGCTCCTGCCTTCTGTGACATGCTTGGCCCTTGAACAGGTTGAGACTTACCAGTCCTCTCTCTGTATTTATAAGACTTGTTTCCTGCTGAATGTCTGCTGACACGGTGTACATCTTCAGAATTCATGGCTTTAACTCTTACATTGGTTGCTTCAACACTTCTGCATATTGCAATGCAAGATTTCAGTGACAGTTTAGTTTCCTGTAAAAGCCTTTTGTTGGTGTTAGGGTCTCTGATCCCTGTCACTATTCTGTCCCTTAATAGTGATTCACGTAGACATTCACAAAAGTTACAGCTCTTTGAGAGTGTGCGAATGGCTGTGAGGTATTCCTGAAAAATTTCTCCATCTGCCTGTACACGATTGTTCAAAATGTATTGTTCATACATCTCATTAGTTTCTCCAATTGTGTATGAATCAAACTTGGCCATAATAGTAGTCACATCCCTGTGGTCTTCCGGCAAGAATTCCATTGCATTGTAGACTTTTAGTGCATCAGTTCCTATAGAATGCAATAAAGCAGCAGCTTGATAATTCATTGGGTAATCATCTAGTTGTGAAACAATCACAAAGTTCTGCCGCGCCTGTTTCCACATTCTCCAATTATCTGCCAAATCACCGGACATTTTCAGCGGCAGTTGAGGTGTCAAATTCAGCAACGGCATTCTCCGTCCATGCGGTATCTGCACGCCCACGTGGTCGTCATGTCCGCCCGGTTCACGTTCTTCCTGACCATCCATAATGTTCATCAGTTAGGAAATGGAATGTGAAATTCGTGTGAAATGTTCATTCATTCACCAAAATGCATAATTAATCCAGAATCATCAAAATCCTGTAGTCGCAAACCACGTGTGATTCTGCCGAGGTCCAAGAAATACTTACTCGCTTGGTGAACTGTCCCCTCCGTGTAGGCACCCAGCACTACTGACTGTCAATTCTAGCAGGAAACATCAACATCAAGTTAATTCCGCACCGCTGCCACCATGTTTCAATATCCCGTGTTATCCAAACACTAATTACAGAGACAACAAGAAACAGGTCTGACTTGACACATTTACTCTAGGAGGCCATGATCTTAAAAAGTTTGGATGTACAGGGATCAGTTATTGTACTGGATTATTGTGATGTGATAGGGAGCAGCCATTACTCGATATTGCAACAGTTGGTTCCACCAACACATATACGCGATAGGTGTCACTGATAGGAGTATGCGATTCAGGCCCGCTCCACAAAGTGATCGTACGGTTATGACTGTCGCAAGTCAATGTATGGTAGTATGATCGTCTCAGCGCTAAGTCTCTGGTCGAGGATTTGTTCCATGAGACAGAATCATTATGTCCTGGTGTTCTACTACCACAAATTTTCAATTTGCAGATCGCACATTGTGTAAGGGGTATTGGCCATACTGGGCTATAGTGGGTTAGTTCACATTGCTTGTTCCTCATAATGGTATTGATGTTCTGCAATCAAAAACTGATTGAATAGGAGAATGGACTTTATTCCACCTATACCTTGCCACGAAGGTGTTTGAGGTGTATGACTAGTCTTACAGGAATATTAGAACACAGTATGACAACGGTGTCGTAACTGGGACATATTTAGTTATAGTGCATCCTGACAACTGCACCGTGACCATGTTAGACCTAGGCCTACATTGTCAGATTACATTATGACAACAGCACTGTGGCTGTTAGACCTAGGCCTACATTGTCAGATTACATTATGACAACAGCACTGTGGCTGTTAGACCTAGGCCTTCATTGTCAGATTACATTATGACAACAGCACTGTGGCTGTTAGACCTAGGCCTTCATTGTCAGATTACATCCTGACAACTGCACCGTGACCGTGTTAGACCTAGGCCTACATTGTCAGATTACATTATGACAACAGCACTGTGGCTGTTAGACCTAGGCCTACATTGTCAGATTACATTATGACAACAGCACTGTGGCTGTTAGACCTAGGCCTTCATTGTCAGATTACATTATGACAACAGCACTGTGGCTGTTAGACCTAGGCCTACATTGTCAGATTACATTATGACATCTCGCACCGTGACCGTGTTTTGACCTAGGCCTACATTGTCAGATTACACCCATTCCTTCTGATTTTTCATATGGTTGAATAAAGATATAACTTATTTTAACTTCAGTGTATGAATGACTAGATTGTTTAATATGTGTATCTTAATACGTTTTGCCAGGGCTAGGCTAAATATGTTCCCAATCGGACATTTTGAGACATCTCCTGAGACCTACAGTGGGTACCCGGATAGGGTCGGGTAGTAGGGGGTGGGTACCCGGGTAGTTAATTTGGACTCGTCCCAGCCCTACATTGGAAGATGAAACATTATTTTGGTTGAAATGCAAAGAATATCTCTCATGTATGGATTCAGGATTTACAAAGACCCCATTACAAGGGGCAACAACTCTGATAGATGCAGCAGTGAACCCGGTATGGAGGGGCGTGTCGGATGTATATCTTGTGGACTGTAAGCCAAGTTCTACCCACTCCTGTGCCAGGTGAGTTTATATAGCAATGTTTGAGTCTGTGCATCTCTATCCACATATATGACATTCTATACCTATCTATCCATGTGTAAGTATCTCTATCCACGTTTTAGTTTGTGTATCTCTATCTAAGTGTTAGTTTGTTTTATTATATCCTTGTGTTAGTCTGAGTATCTCAATCCATGTGTTAGTCTGAGTAGTTCTATCCACGTCTTCATCTGAATATCTATATCCACGTGTTATTCTGGTTAGTTCTATCCATGTGCTAGTCTGAGTATCTCTATCCAAGTGTTAGTCTGAGTACATCTAGCCACGTGCTAGTATGAGTATCTCTATCCATGTGTTAGTCTGAGTATCTCTATCCACGTGCTAGTATGAGTATCTCTATCCATGTGTTAGTCTGAGTATCTCTATCAAAGTGTTAGTCTGAGTATCTCTATCCATGTGTTAGTCTGAGTATCTCTATCCATGTGTTAGTCCGAGTATCTCTATCCATCTGTTAGTCTGAGTATCTTTATCCAAGTGTTAGTCTGAGTATCTCTATCCACGTTTTTAGTCTGAGTATCTCTATCCACGTGTTAGTCTGACTATCTCTATCAACGTGTTTGAGTATCTCTATCCATCTGTTAGTCTGAGTATCTCTATCCTTGTGTTAGTCTGAGTATCTTTATGCAAGTGTTAGTCTGAGTTTCTTTATCCATGTGTTAGTCAGAGTATCTCTATCAAAGTGTTGGTCTGAGTATCTCTATCCATGTGTTAGTCTGAGTATCTCTATCCACATGTTAGTCTGAGTATCTCTATCCACCTGTTTCAGTATCTCTATCCATGTATTAGTCTGAGTATCTCTATCCATGTGTTAGTCTGAGTATCTCTATCCATCTGTTAGTCTGAGTATCTTTATCAAAGTGTTAGTCTGAGTATCTCTATCCACGTGTTATTCTCACTATCTCTATCCACCTGTTTGAGTATCTCTATCCATCTGTTAGTCTGAGTATCTCTATCCTTGTGTTAGTCTGAGTATCTTTATACAAGTGTTAGTCTGAGTAGCTTTATCCATGTGTTAGTTTGAGTATCTCTATCCAAGTGTTAGTCTGAGTATCTTTATCCAAGTGTTAGTCTGAGTATCTCTATCCACGTGCTAGTATGAGTATCTTTAACCAAGTGTTAGTCTGAGTATCTCTATCCACATGTTAGTCTGAGTATCTCTATCCACATGTTAGTCTGAGTATCTCTATCCATGTGTTAGTCTGAGTATCTCTATCCGTGTGTTAGTCTGAGTATCTTTATCCAAGTGTTATTCTCAGTATCTCTATCCATGTGTTAGTCTGAGTATCCCTATCCATGTGTTAGTCTCAGTATCTCTATCCACGTTTTTAGTCTGAGTATCTCTATCCACGTGTTAGTCTGACTATCTCTATCCACGTGTTTGTCAGAGTATCTCTATCCATCTGTTAGTCTGAGTATCTTTATCCAAGTGTTAGTCTCAGTATCTCTATCCACGTGTTATTCTGAGTATCTTTATCCAAATGTTATTCTGAGTATCTCTATCCACGTGTTAGTCTGCGTATCCCTATCCATGTGTTAGTCTGAGTATCTCTATCCACGTTTTTAGTCTGAGTATCTCTATCCATGTGTAAGTCTGACTATCTCTATCCACGTGTTTGTCTGAGTATCTCTATCCACGTGTTAGTCTGAGTATCTTTATCAAGGTGTTAGTCTGAGTATCTCTATCCATGTGTAAGTCTGACTATCTCTATCCATGTGTTAGTCAGAGTATCTCTATCCATGTGTTAGTCTGAGTATATCTATCCATCTGTTAGTCTGAGTATCTCTATCCATGTGTTAGTCTGAGTATTTCTATACATGTGTTACTCTGAGTATCTCTATCCATGTGTTACTCTGAGTATCTCTATCAAAGTGTTAGTCTGAGTATCTCTATCCACGTGTTAGTCTGAGTATCTTTATCAAGGTGTTAGTCTGAGTATCTCTATCCACGTGTTAGTCTGAGTATCTCTATCCACATGTTAGTCTGAGTATCTCTATCCATGTATTAGTCTCAGTGTCTTTATCCAAGTGTTAAGCTGTGTATCTTTATCCATGTGTTAGTCTGAGTATCTTTATCCAATTTTTAGTCTGAGTATCTCTATCCAAGTGTTAGTCTGAGTATCTCTATCCATGTGTTAGTCTGAGTATCTCTATCCATGTGTTACTCTGAGTATCTCTATCCATGTGTTACTCTGAGTATCTCTATCAAAGTGTTAGTCTGAGTATCTCTATCCACGTCTTAGTCTGAGTATCTTTATCAAGGTGTTAGTCTCAGTATCTCTATCCATGTGTTAGTCTGAGTATCTCTATCCCCGTGTTAGTCTGAGTATCTCTATCCACCTGTTAGTCTGAGTATCTCTATCCATGTGTTAGTCTGAGTATCTCTATCCATGTGTAAGTCTCAGTATCTCTGTCCAAGTGTTAGTCTGAGTATCTCTATCCAAGTGTTAGTCTGAGTATCTCTATCCAAGTCTTAGTCTGAGTATCTCTATCCGTGTATTAGTCTGAGTATCTCTATCCATGTGTGAGTCTCAGTATCTCTATCCAAGTGTTAGTCTGAGTATCTCTATCCGTGTATTAGTCTGAGTATCTCTATCCATGTGTTAGTCTGAGTATCTCTATCAAAGTGTTAGTCTGAGTATATCTATCCGTGTGTTAGTCTGAGTATCTCTATCCATGTGTTAGTCTGAGTATCTCTATCCAAGTGTTAGTCTGAGTATCTCTATCCGTGTGTTAGTCTGAGTATCTCTATCCAAGTGTTAGTCTGAGTATCTCTATCCGTGTATTAGTCTGAGTATCTCTATCCATGTGTTAGTCTGAGTATCTCTATCCAAGTGTTAGTCTGAGTATCTCTAGCCACGTGTTAGTCTCAGTATCTCAGTACAAGTGTTAGTCTGAGTATCTCTATCTAAGTTTTAGTCTGAGTATCTCTATCCATGTGTTTGTCGGAGTATCTCTATCCACGTGTAAGTCTCAGTATCTCTATCCATGTGTTTGTCTGAGTATCTTAATCCAAGTGTTAGTCTCAGTATCTCTATCAGTGTGTTAGTCTCAGTATCTCTTTCAACGTGTTAGTCTCAGTATCTCTATCCAAGTGTTAGTCTCAGTATCTCTATCCACGTGTTGGTCTCAGTATCTCTATCCATGTGTTAGTCTGAGTATCTCTATCCACGTGTTTGTCTGAGTTTCTTTATACAAGTGTAAGTCTCAGTATCTCTATCCATCTGTTAGTCTGACTATCTCTATCCAAGTGTTAGTCTGAGTTTCTCTATCCGTGTATTAGTCTGAGAATCTCTATCCATGTGTTAGTCTGAGTATCTCTATCCATGTGTTAGTCTGAGTATCTCTATCCATGTGTAAGTCTGAGTATCTCTATCCATGTATTAGTCTGAGAATCTCTATCCATGTGTTAGTCTTAGTATCTCTATCCATGTGTCAGTCTGAGTTTCTCTATCCACGTGTTAGTCTGAGTATCTCTATCCACGTGTTTGTCTGAGTATCTTTATCCACCTGTTTGAGTTTCTCTATCCATGTATTAGTCTGAGTATCTCTATCCATGTGTTAGTCTGAGTATCTCTATCCATCTGTTAGTCTGAGTATCTTTATCAAAGTGTTAGTCTGAGTATCTCTGTCCACGTGTTAGTCTGAGTATCTTTATCCAAATGTTAATCTGAGTATCTCTATCCACGTTTTTAGTCTGAGTATCTCTATCCTTGTGTTAGTCTGAGTATCTTTATACAAGTGTTACTCTGAGTATCTTTATCCATGTGTTAGTCTGAGTATCTCTATCCAAGTGTTAGTCTGAGTATCTTTATCCAAGTGTTAGCCTGAGTATCTCTATCCACGTGCTAGTATGAGTATCTCTATCCATGAGTTAGTCTAAGTGTCTCTAACCAAGTGTTAGTCTGAGTATCTCTATCCACATGTTAGTCTGAGTATCTCTATCCACATGTTAGTCTGAGTATCTCTATCCATGTGTTAGTCTGAGTATCTCTATCCGTGTGTTAGTCTGAGTATCTTTATCCAAGTGTTAGTCTCAGTATCTCTATCCATGTGTTAGTCTGAGTATCCCTATCCATGTGTTAGTGTCAGTATCTCTATCCACGTGTTAGTCTGACTATCTCTATCCACGTGTTTGTCTGAGTATCTCTATCCATCTGTTAGTCTGAGTATCTTTATCCAAGTGTTAGTCTGAGTATCTCTATCCACGTGTTAGTCTGAGTATCTCTATCCACGTTTTTAGTCTGAGTATCTCTATCCATGTGTTAGTCTGACTATCTCTATCCACGTGTTTGTCTGAGTATCTCTATCCACGTGTTAGTCTGAGTATCTTTATCAAGGTGTTAGTCTGAGTATCACTATCCATGTGTAAGTCTGACTATCTCTATCCATGTGTTAATCAGAGTATCTCTATCCATGTGTTAGTCTGAGTATCTCTATCCATCTGTTAGTCTGAGTATCTCTATCCATGTGTTAGTCTGAGTATTTCTATCCATGTGTTACTCTGAATATCTCTATCAAAGAGTTAGTCTGAGTATTTCTATCCATGTGTTAGTCTGAGTATTTCTATCCATGTGTTACTCTGCGTATCCCTATCCATGTGTTAGTCTGAGTATCTCTATCCACGTTTTTAGTCTGAGTATACCTATCCATGTGTTAGTCTGACTATCTCTATCCACGTGTTAGTCTGAGTATCTTTATCAAGGTGTTAGTCTGAGTATCTCTATCCACGTGTTAGTCTGAGTATCTCTATCGACATGTTAGTCTGAGTATCTCTATCCCTGTATTAGTCTCAGTGTCTTTATCCAAGTGTTAAGCTGTGTATCTCTATCCATGTGTTACTCTGAGTATCTCCATCAAAGTGTTAGTCTGAGTATCTTTATCAAGGTGTTAGTCTGAGTATCTCTATCCATGTGTTAGTCTGAGTATCACTATCCCCGTGTTAGTCTGAGTATCTCTATCCACCT